TCTGGCATCAGATATTTTGTCTTGGTTTGGATCCATTACTGGTGAGCTGGTGTGATCTTTTGGGGCTGTTAAAGAACCTTGTTTTGTCATATTACCAGAATTGTTTTTCTGGCCCCTTCTCATTTGGGTAGACTGTGTCAGAGGGAAGATCTGGGACTCAAGGGTCATTGTTCAGATTCTTGTGTCCCACAGGGTGCTCTTTTGATGTGGTATTCTCCCCCTTCCCCTAGGGATGGGCCTTCCTGAGAGCAAAACTGCAGTGATTGTTTTGGTTCTTCTGAGTCTAGCCACCTAGCAGAGCTACCAGGCTCTGGGCTGGCACTGGGGAATGTCTGCAAAGAGTCCTGTGATGCGATCCATCTTCAGGTCTTTCAGCCGTGGATACCACCACCTGCTCTGGTGGAGGTAGCAGGGGTGGGAAGTGGACTCTGTCAGGGTTCTTGGTTGTATTTTTGTTTAGTGTGCTAGTTTTGTGTTGGTTGGCCTCTAGCCAGGAGGTGGTGCTTTCAAGAATGTATCAGCTGTGATACTATAGGGAGGATGCAAACTTGTCCTAGGGTTGCCTGGTTAAGTATTCAGGTTTCTCAGGTGGTGGGCAGGACAAAGAGATGATGTCCCTTGTCTTCAGCAACAAGGGTGGGTAGAGAAAGACCACTAGGTAGGGGCAGGGATAAGCATGTCTGAGCTCAGACTCTCCTTGGGTAGAGTTTGCTATGACTGCTGTTGGGGGATGGGGTGTGGTTCCAAGGCCAATGGAGTTGTAATACTAGGGGGATTATGGCTGGCTCTGCTTCATCATACAGGTCATCAAGGAAGTAGGGGAAAGCTGGCGGTTCACAGGCCTCACACTGCTCCCATGCAGCCCACTGTCCTAAAGGCTGGTCTCACTCCCACTGTGCCTCCCAATAGCACTGAGTATATTTCCAGGCAGCCAGTGAACAGGGCTGAGAACTTGCGCTGGACTACCAGCCTCCCTTCTGAGAAAGCAAGCAGACTCTCAGTTTTTTGGAGTCTCAGGGAGCGTACAGCATCGATCCAGTTCCTTTAAAGCCTCTGTGGATTCTCTCAGCTTTCCTGGTATCTTCCTGCGGTAATTTTTGGAGCAAAAGCTCATGATGTGAGTCTCCATATGCTTCTCTGTCTGTCCGAGTGGGAGCTGCCAGCTAGTTTTGCCTCCTGTCCTCCATCTTCCCTATACCTGTTGCTAACATCTTATTTTTGTTCCCTATAAATGACTAGCAGTTTGCCGTAGGGCCTAGGATACCTCTTTAAATTTTCTTTTTCATTTTATCCCTGTCAGTCAGAATAGGGTACCTTCTAAGTGCTCACACGAGTGATAGCAGCTAGGTAGGGTTGTGTGTGTGTTTGTGTGTGTGTGTGTGTGTGTTTTACCTTTTTTGAGGACATTACAATTTGAATTTGGCCTCTTGACCTGTACCTTCTCTTTATTTCACATGCTGACAGAAATGAAGAGTGATCAATATTTTATAGATATTGTAACTTTATTTTCTTCCAAATATCTGACAGTTTACATTTTTGATTTGAACATTTATCTATATAGTCTTATAAAGGAGAAATAACATATTTAATTATATATTTATTTAACTTTAATGTGGGGAAAAGAAAAAAGATATGAAATATATTCTTTTCTGGTAAATCTTTTAAATATGATGATAGTATTCATGGATTTATGATTTGGATTAATTAAATTAATCTCTTTAAACTTTCAGAAATATAGTTAAAAATACTCTTTCTTGTAAGGCAAATAAAAATGGTTCTTACATTATGAAGCTCAACACCTAAAAAGCTTAGGGTGGAATATCAAGTAAGAGGTCTAAAAGAGAAAGACTCATTTCATGGGAGTCTATTTCTATTTCTGTGGAGATTTCTGAATGCACTTGTTGAAGGCCTTTTTTTTTCTGCTAATCTATTAATGGGGAAGCTATTGATGACCTGATGTGGATGGGAACAATGGAAATTTTAGGACAAAGAGGATGAAGATTAATGAGGAAAAAATGTATTTCATTGATAGACTTGCTCTTGCATGAGCTTGGAATGGGCTGACTTACAGGACAAAGCTCACATCTGTATAACTTGATTTTTGTTAGATGTATAATCACTTATCTTGCCAGGATGTCTTGGACATCAACAGGTGCCACACACAGGAGCCCCCCTCTGCCAATGTGTGTCATTCAACTGTCTCCTATTGATCACTGAAGAGCTAGGATAATTTATAAGAATATAGCCATGTGTTGGCAGCCTTCCTGACTCTCCTGTATTCTTCCTGACTCTTCCTGACTCTTCAGCCTTTCCCTATTAATTTTAGCTTTATTTCCTTAAACTTGAAATATATCCAAGGCTCTCTCACATGTGTAAGTAAGCAATGACAAAAAACCAAAAAAGCCAAAAAGGCTTTCTTCATGCTTCAGGGAATTATCTTAATTATTTTTGTTTGTCCCTATTTCTTTTTTCCCTACTCACTCATTAATCTGGTTTCTCCCTCTGCTATGGTCCAGCACACACATTCTAGTAAGGCTACCCCCTCCTAGGTCTTTAGGGACCTTTAGTATGGTGAATCCAATGGACAGTGCTCAGATATCTTCATACTTCACTTTTCTGCTGCATTTGATACTACTTAAAATTTGTTACCATACTATTTCTTTTGTAGAATTATTTTCTTCCATCTGCCTCTTAAATGTTGATATTCTGTGGTTTAATCCTTGGTTCTTTTTCCTTACTTCCTAAAACTTTCTTGAGTGATCTAATAGATACCCTGCTATAATGCCAGTGACTCCTACAATGTCTCTATCCCAAGGTCCAAGCCTATGTTTCTTACTACTTATTAAGTTGCCCTCTATGGATATCTAATAGCTAAATTAAATATACTAGGTCTAAAATGAAAATATTTTTCTCCCTAAATTTGTTTCTTCTGAAAACTTTTTATAAAGTATTGCTTAATAATAATACTATTCATTCAGTAATGCATGCAAATTCAGAATCTTACTGTTAAAGTTCTGCCTGATCATCAACTGACCATCAGCTACTCCCTCTATTACTGCACATATCCATTCCCGATCTCCTCCCATCTGTTTGTGTTGGGGATCCCCAAGACCACTCTCCAAGTTCTTTAATTTGCTAGAATGACTTGCAGGACTCAGCATATAGTAGCATTCATGAATAAGATTTATTATAGCTAAAAGACACAAGACAAAATCTGCAAAGGGAAAAGGTGCAAGAAGTGAAGTCTGAGTGGAAGCCAGGTACAAACTTCCAAGAGTCCTCTGCCTGTGGAGACACGTAGGACATGGTTAATCTTTTCAGCATTAATTTCAGACAACATATATGAAGGTTGTTTACCAGGCAAGCTCATTAGAGACCCAGTGCCCAATGTTTTTTGTAGTTGACTGGTCATGCAGACACCCTCTGTCTTTTACTTACCAAAATTCCAAGTTCTTAGAAGGAAATCAGGTGTTCCCCGAACAACCACACTGTTCGTATAAACAATTTAGGCAGAGTCATTTTAATAAGTTAGGGAATGCTGAAGACCTTCTTGAAATCCAACTTCCCAGACACAGGCCAAAAGCTAATCTTGTAAGTGGCTCTTTCTGAGAATATCATCCTCAGGCTTGCTATGTAAACTCTTTTCTGTACGCTACCATTTGTATTGAATGTCTTTGTAAGAAACATATGAGTTCTCTGGCTAAATGTTTTTAATCTTCATTAACTGTACTACAAAGTCCAACCTTCCATTCAATGATGTGTCTCAAAGGTCTATAATGGAGCCTAGAGCATGGCAGACACTCGATATACTTCATAATTGATTTGAAAACATACAAATTCCTCATAATTTTGTCGTGTTCCACATTTCCAATGTCATCTCTTATCTGTCCCCAAAGCATACTCCGTGTTGCAGACTTTCCAAAGACTGTTCTTCCCAAGTTTTCTCACATTTGTCAGCTGTTTGCAAGGGAAATTTCTTTCTAGAGTACTCTTCCCTCCCTTAGCTACTAGGCCAAGTTAAGCCTCAGCTGAAGGGTTAGCTCCTATTCTTTCATCCCTTATGATGTTCTCCAGGTAGAGTTAGGTATGCTGTCTGCACATCTATGATATGGCCTTCATCAGTTTAGAAGATTTAAGAACACGTGTAATGAGGATGAATAGGTGTTTTCATGTGGTAGGTCAATGGGTCACCTATATACATTGCCACGGGGTGGTATTCATTTATTTGCCTGGTGACCTCACCACAGTGCAGAGTCAGACCGTGAGCTATGTGTGCTCAGAATCCAGCCTCAACCACGTCTCTGTTAATAAGAATGATTGGATGTAAAGATGCTAACTCACACTAAGAGACCTCAGAGAGGCCATTCTGTCAACTTAAAATGAGAAATATCTGTGAAACTGACATGACATTCACATTTATCTGTTAAGTACCTTTGCTCTCTGTATTTAAGCTATAGTGAAAACGAAACTATTGAGGAGATGCTTGATGAGCATGGAATCAGAACAAGGAGATTTATATTCATTGTGTAATTTCAATATTTTTTGACATTAAGCTCCAATAACTGGACACAACTACCTCAGCAACAGGGATGTGCCTTCAGGCAGAGCAGATAATCCTGTAAACCTCATAAAACTCTTCTTCTGGGTAGTTCCTTTGGTAGTTGGAGTAAAACTACTGACCTTTCCCCCTTTTCCCCTGTATATGACTTTCTTTTTCTCTGTATATTTAAATGGCTGAAGTACCCCTGTCTAATTGGCAAATTCTTTCTGATTTTAGTGTATTTAAAATAGATAATAGTCTGAATTTTACTGACCTGAAGTTCAGTCTATTTCTTTAAGCATAGTTTCCAATTCTCTGTTCTGATAGATTGTGTTTATTTTTGAGGCAAAATTTTTTTTCTTATTTTCTATTATTTTCTGGATATGAGGTGACCCCTGCATTGTGAATGCTTATTTATTTTACATTATTGATTTATCAAAAAACCTGTTTCTTTCTACAGCTCAGGGACTATAAATTCCTAATCCTGGTGTCCCAATCCCTAAACCAGAATTGGATTACAGACGAATATGTTGCATAAATGAATGTGAGTTGACAATTTTCTTTGGTGGCAAAGCGATGTTAATTTTCATTGGTATTTTAAACTATCCTTAAGTAAAAGTGTTATTTTGCAGTCTGTAATTATTTTAACATTTTAGAAATTGTGATTTTTTTGTATGTTTTCTGCAATTTAGCTTCCTTTTCAGGAAGTGTTATTCCATCAGTCAATAATGTATTGATACAGAGAAAAAAAAGTGGTTAAAAGCAAGGCTATTACCTTATAATTTATGGCATTACAATATTCACATGTTAAAATTATGCAATAAGCTTTGATAAATAATACTTGGCTTAGCAGTAGTATAGCATTATTTGTTAAATTTCTTAAGTTGGAAATAGCCAGACATGTGTGATATCAATGGGACCCTAACTTTGAATTATTCTGATTACCAAGATTTCTGAAAGCCACGAATATTTTTCTGACAAAGGAAGCAGATCAATTATTCTAAATAAAAGCCATAATGTTTATCAATTTTAAATGGTTTATATGTGACAAATTTATTCTAGGATGGTCAGGTATTTAGGCCTGTGTTTTACAGTCAGTTTATCTTGCAGTTTATACTGGAATGTTAGAGCTTGTCAGGTATTTACGAGGTTTTTCTTCGTGGGGTTTTTTTGGAATCTTTACAGTCACTGTGGCCATTTTACTGCAGGTGAAATACAATAGAGAGCTAACAAGCATCATGTACAATAGACTGTTGTCTACTTTATCTACAAAGTAGTGGACTAAGTAAAAATGAAAATAGACAATTAAAATATCTATTAACTAAATTGGGACATGATAAGAGAACGAATGAATGGCTTGCAAGATTAAATGAATGCATGTTAACACTGAATATACATGAAAGTAAAAGAGGATCACCACTGGATAAATTGTTGAGATGACTCAAAAGAGGGAGTGGGGGTTAATTTAAGACCTTAATTGATACAATTCAACATCACTTCATGTTAAAAACTCTCAATAAACTAGGTATTAATGGAACATATCTCAAAATAATAAGAGCTATTTATGACAAACCAACAGCCAATATCATATTAACTGGGCAAAACCTGGAAGCATTCCCTTTGAAAACTGGTACAAGACAAAGATGCCCTCTCTCACCACTCTTACTCAACATAGTATTGGAAGTTCTGGCCAGGGCAATCAAGCAAGAGAAAGAAATAAAAGGTATTCAAACAGGAAGAGGGGAAGTCAAGTTATCTCTGTTTGCAGATGACATGATTTTATATTTAGAAAACCCCATCATCTCAGCCCCAAAACTTCTTGAACTGATAAGCAATTTCAGCAAAGTCTCAGGATACAAAAATCAATGTGCAAAAATGACAAGCATTCCTTTACACCAACAATAGGCAAGCAGAGAGCCAAATCGTGAATGAACTCCCATTCACAATCACTGCAAAGAGAATAAAATACCTAGGAATACAGCTAAAAAGGGATGTGAAGGACCTCTTCAAGGAGAATGACAAACCACTGCTCAAGGAAGTAAGAGAGGACTCAAACAAATGGAAAAACATTCCATGCTCATGGATAGGAAGAATCAATATCGTGAAAATTATCATACTGCCCAAAGTAACTTATAGATTCAATGCATTGACATTCTTCACAGAATTAGAAAAAACTATTTTAAAGTTCATATGGAATCAAAGAAGACCCCATATAGCCAAGACAATCCTAAGCAAAAAGAACAAAGCTGGAGGCATCCCGCTACCTGACTTCAAACTATACTACAAAGCTACAGTAACCAAAACACCATGGTACTAATACCAACACAGACATATAGACCAATGGAGCAGAACAGAAACCTTAGAAATATCACCACACATCTATAACCATCTGATCTTCAACAAACCCGACAAAAACAAGCAATGGGGAAAAGATCTCCTATTCAGTAAATGGTTCTGGGAAAACTGGGTAGCCATAAGCAGAAAACTGAAACTGGATCCCTTCCTTAAACCATATATAAAAATTAACTCAAGATGAATTGAAGACTTAAATGTAAAACCCCAAACCAGAAAAAACCTAGAAGAAAACCTAGGCAATACGATTCAAGACATAGGCACGGACCAAGACTTCATGACAAAATGCCAAAAGCAATTGCATCAAAAGCCAAAATTGGCAAATGAGATCTAATTAAACTAAAGAGCTTCTTCACAGCAAAAGAAACTATCATCAGAGTGAACAGGCAACCTACAGAATGGGAGAAAATTTTTGCAGTCTACCCATCTGACAAAAGTGTAATATCCGTAATTTACGAGGAACTTAAACAAATGTACAAGAAGAAAATACACAACTCCATCAAAAAGTGGGCGAAGGATACGAACAGACGCATCTCAAAAGAAGACATTTAGGTGGCCAATGAACGTATGAGAAAAAGCTCAACATCCCTGATCATCAGAGAAATGTAAATCAAAACCACAATGAGGTACCATCTCACACCAGTCAGAATGGCAATTATTAAAAAGTCAGGAAATGATAGATGCTGGCCAGGCTGTGGAGAAACAGGAACACTTCTACACTGTTGGTGGGAATGTAAGTTAGTTCAACCATTGTGGAAGATAGTATGGCGATTCCTCAAGGATCTGGCACCAGAAATACCATTTGACCCAGGAATCCCATTACTAGGTATATACCCAAAGGATTATAAATCAGTCTGCTATAAAGACATATGCACACCTATGTTTATTGCAACACTATTTACAATAGCAAAGACATGGAACCAACACAAATGTTCATCGTGATAGACTGGATAAATAAAAGGTGGTACAAATACACCATGGAATACTATACAGTCATAAAAAGCAATAAGATCATGTCCTTTGCAAGGACATGGATGAAGCAGGAAGCCATCATTCTCCACAAACTAACACAGGAACAGAAAGCCAAACACTGCATGTTCTCACTCATAAGCTGGAGTTGAACAATGAGAACACGTGGACACAGGGTGGGGAATAACACACACCAGGACCTGTTGGGGATGGGGGGTGAGGTGAGGGAACTTAGAGGATGAATCAATAGGTGTAGCATACCACCACTGTACATGTATACTTATGTAACAAACCTGTACATTCTGCACATGTATCCCCCCCTTTTTTTAAGAAGAAATATAGGAAAAACATACATAAGACCTTATGTAAACTTCCTTTTTACTTTTTTATTTTTGTTTTCTCTGCCTGATTATATAGTGCTGGGACCTGTATTTCATCTAGGAGTTCCAGAGAAAGGATCAATTGACAAGCATGACACTATGATAATATATCAAAATATAACTGTCAAATCTATAGAGAAATGGTGGGAGGGGTGTTTATTTCTCACCTAAGTTGAAATTAATGGTGTCTGCCTTTTTCCTACACAGTGAGTAAAAATGTACTTTTCCAATCCTGTTCCAGAGAAAGGATGAAGAACTTGCTACCTGTGTTGCAGGTCATTCCTCTTGCTGAATCTGGTATTTATTTTCTATGGCAAAGGGTCTGAATTAAAATTAATGACAAATGGAAAGAAGGTGAAGTAATTGCTGATGCAAAGAGAGTAAATAAATAGATAATGCTAAAAGGGAAAGCTAACATTACCTTGCTTTGTTGTGAGATGATGAGAGCAAGGGAATGATACTATCTGTAAGCTGTTTTTACACATGAACATGGGACTGGCTACAAAATTTGTGGAGCCCAGTGCAAATAAAAATGCAAGGCGTTTTGTTCAGAAATGATAAAGCATTGGTAGTCAGTCAAGCATTAAACCAAGTATGTCTCTTGTAAGCACAAGGCGCTGTATGACTGCACAGGTCTCAAGCTCTTGAAGCCAGCCCTGAATCCTAGAGGAAGGAATCTATTTGCCTGAAGAAATATACTCTTTTATTTGGAGCTAAAGGTCAAGGATGGATCCTAGCATTCAATATAGAGTTGGCTGTGTGATGTGCCTTGATGACCTTAAGGCCTTGTGGATGAGCACTTGGAATAATTCTATTTTGCTTTGTCTTTTGTTTTCATTTGGCACATTACATACACTACAGAGGACTCCTATTAGAAGGTAACATGGGGATTGTTGCTCCTGTATGCACACAAAAGACCTGTTCTATAACAGAGCCACTGTGTAACTATTAACCTAAGTGACAATCTGTTGAAAAGTGCCTGGAATGAGTGGACATAAAACATTCTTTCATGTTTCCTTGTGTTTATAGACATGTTCCTATAAGTGGACACTGGTGGCTAAAGTAAAGATGAAAAACTGGAACCACTGTTTAGGGATGACACAGTGAAGTCATCTACATACTGCTGATAGCCCTGATACTCACCAAGGGCACCTATGAGAAACTCTATGGGATGTTCAAAGTGGAGTATATTTGAAAGTGACTATTAACTATGTGACACTGTCCTGGGACACTGATATCTGTGTTCAGATTTATTGGGAAAATGGAAATGGAAATTTATGCAATTAAATTATACTCTAATACTAAGTCCTCAACGACAATGAAACATTTGGTGGAAAAATAAACGTCAGTAAAAAAATTTTCTAAAAGGTAATTAGAATAAATTGGTACAGATCCACATCCTAGAATAAACCACATTTACCTTTAATGAAGAGAGCTGTATTGAGAAAAAAGATTTACTTGCCATATTGAATGCTGAAATGATGCTATTTTGGCAAAAAAGGAAAAGGATGGCAATTGGCCTGGACAAATAAGACAGCTTTAGAAAAACACGTAAAACAAACTCAACAGATAGGCAGCCAGTTTGCTAATGGGGCATAAATGGAGAACAGTATACAGGCTGACCCCAGAGGGGCTATTAGGTAGCTCAACGAAAAATTTTGGCAGTAGAAGCCAGGGAATAAATCTGTGGGAGACTTATGATATCTCTAGTAAATTGGAATTTATAAATTAAAGATGTAATTGATATGGGTTGCTCTCTGACTTGCAAGACCCCATGTACCAACAAAAACCACATGTACTGGTCAAGTTTCTTCAGAGAAACTAAACCAATAGAATACACACACACGCACACACACACACACAC